TGCTGCTCTGGGTTTTGGTGAGAATTAAATTAGGTCATCCACATGAGTGCCCGGTATACCCACACACCCAGCGGCGATCAGCTCCTCTTACTGATACCTGTGGTTCAGCTGCTGGTGAGGTGAACAAGCTTTTGTGAAGTAACTGGTAACATAATCACACTGCATGGTATTGTTTCCTTGGAAAATGCATTCTGAGGTTTAGCAACCTATAAATGAGGTTCTGAGCAAGTTGAAGACAGCCTGAAGGAGAAGCGATGTTCATCATAATTTTTTAATAAGTACAGTTAGTGGCATGCTGTAACTCGTTTGACCAATGTAAACTGCACCGGGGAGAGACGGAAAGTATATTCTACGTGAGATAGTTGGGAAAAAAATTCCTAAGAAGCACAGTTCCTCTCTTTCAGCTGTACCTACACTCTTTTCCACAAGCTCATAAAATCCAGCTGATTTGAAGAATCAGAAAGTTGTTCTGAATCTATGTTCATTCCCTTCCTTAAAGGTTGGAAATCCTGCCATAGAAAAGAATAGTCCAGGTTTCCTTGTGTAAGATAAAGAAGAGGAAAGGACGATCCACCTTGAAGATCTCTGGATTTTCCACCGTGCTTGTTTGGGTGGTGGGGGTTATCTCCGAATGACCCTCAGTGACCTCCAGCATGGCTTTATGGATGATCGTAGAGACCGCGAGGCCCCCTCCTGCAGTTAGGCCAGACAAGTTAGCTCTTGAGTGGTCGAAGACATCGATCAGTCCCAAAGCCGTCAAAATGGAAGTCAGATCTTCATGACGCTCGTCGACCCTGAGCCGGGGCAGGTAGAGCACCACACCTGTGTCTTTCATGCTGGCTGAGTTTAGCCAGTGTTTTAGTTTCTCATAAGTGATTTCTCTGGTCACCTGTGGGAAAGAATGCAAGAAACAAAATAGACATTTAGAAAACAAAATTATACCAAAATGTGAAACATCCTAAGGGCTGGGTGTAAAGTTATGAAAAGGTACAGCTACTTCTCACTGTCATTTTGGAAAGCAGAGTCTATCAGAGTAAGTGGGGAAAACTGGATCATGTGCACGAATTACAGGCAGAGCACATAGCCCTGGAAGTTATGCCTTGGCACACCGTCCAAAAGTCACCTGGAAAAAATATAAATCCTCATGGAGAATTTCTACTTTTCTTCCTCTTATGATCCCTCTATAAATTGCTCAGCTTATGTATTATAATTGTACACTTTCTATAAGTGCCAGCTCTTTTCTATCAGCCACCTTAAAAGACATCCTTGGAACCCGAGGTCCTCCAATTCTGACAACAAAAATTATAATTCTAGATTGACCAATAAATATAAGGCTCTACCTCAACTCAAAGCAAAATTCTCATTGGTCAAGTATCCATAGAAACTGAATTATATCAAAGTAAGAAACATATCAAACAATGACAAACCATATGATCAAAAGAGATATAGGACTGTGCCTTGAAAGCTGAAACCTTTTATGAGTACAAGCCGCATGTCCTAGAATGGGTGTTTACTTTATTTTGGGGGTTCTGCTTGTTTTTTTAAGTGGTCACCATACTGCGTTAAGTAGAGCGTAAGCAGTTATTTACATGCCCCCTCTTTCTGCATGTGTGATCCTCAAGCCCAGAGCCTTATCTTGTGGCTGCAAAGGCTCAGTGGTTTACCTGCCCCAGGCCGATGTCCTCACTTGGTAGGAGGATGACCATGCTCAGGCAGTCCTCAGCATCCGGCAGCTCAAGGAGCTGGACCCGAGGCTCCACTACGGAGCCCAGTTTCAAGTATCCTTCCAGCCTCATCATCTGCACCGCTTTGCTCTGGGACTGTCAGCATAAAAACAGTGAAACAACAAAGCTAATTTCTCCTTACTTTTCCATTTAAGACACAGGAAATTGACGTTTATAGTCAGTCTTCCTCCAAAATTGCCTATAATAAGTGATCAAAACAAAAGCCGCTCATCTTTCCCCAGAATTATCTATAATTGATCGTTATTGCCATGATTTTAGGTGGGGAAAGCCTGAACAAAGAAGCTATTGAAGTACAAAGGATATACTGTTTTTATTCAGCTGTCCTTTTTGGATGCCCAGAAGCAGTTAATTCACTTCAAAGAGCTGAGAAATATGCACCGCAAGATCGTATCACGAAAACCATTTTTAAGTCAAATAAGTCCTTTCGAGAATATAATTTAGAAATCGTTCTAGCTCTAGTAAAATCTGAGTTGAGTTGCAGATGACAAAATAATCATAAATTAGCTAAGAATGTAACAAAGTTCTAAATTAGTTCTATATAACAAGGCTACTTTAAGGAAATTTAGTTATGACTATAATCATATTTTATGTTTTTCTCTTTGAAATGCTAGTTAACTGGTTAAAGATATGTGCATTGTGTATGTCAACCAAATGGACCAGATTTTACTATGAAATTAAAGATTCTATTTTCTTACTGTTTCCTCTAGCAAGTTGTTTGTTTGGGGTATGCTTACCCCCTTCAAGCATCTCTGTGAATCCTGCTAAAATCTTTTACTCCATTTTCTTTATACTATGGTCTCTCAATTGGGCTGATCCTTGAATGGACCTAGAGGAACTATTTAAAAATGCATATATTCAAGCATTGCTTGCAAATCAGAAGCTTGAGAAATGTGGCCTGGAATCTTAATTAAAAAAAAAAAAACATAAAAACTAAATAATTTCACTATTTATTTTTTCTTAGTCATTCACTATTTCTTTGTCATGAAAAACATTTATTCAAAAGTATAAAACCTCTTTATTTTTACGGTTGACTATAGCAAATTTTAAATTGACCAATAATTTCAAGCATTTTTTGGTAAAACATCTGATGGAGTAAATATATATGATAGCTTAGGGACTTAGTTATAAAATACAGATCCATTCTTTCATATTAAATAACATGCTTGTTTAGGTTGCAGCCTGATATTTAGCACACTTTGGGGACACCAAGAAAAGAAGCTGAGTAGAAACCACTGTCAATGTACCTTAAACCTTTACTATGACTTGTTCACCATGGCTGCTTAGCCTCTTAAGGTGACACCCATTTTACATAAGACCTGCCTGCTTTTCTAATGAATATTTTTTTTGTCAATTGCGGTTGACATCCAATATTACATTAGTTTCGGGCCCTGCCTCTTAATTCCAGGAGTATCTATTCTCCATCACCTGACTTCATTTCCAGTGTGCAGTAAGTGAGTTGCCTAATAATGGTTTAAGCTTAGCCCAAAGCCCAAACCTACTGTAAACCCTTTCAAAGTCTATACTTTACATCAGTTTTTATTTTTACAACTATAGTGCTAAAAATAGCATGTCTACTTTCAAAATAGGATGAAAATACTATGGAGAATTTAAAAGAAAGGTTCAGTTATTTTTTTTTTTTTAATGTCTTGTAAATCTAAACCTGCACTTTATTGAGTAGGTAGCTAGACTAGGCACTTAGAAATTAATCTACCTGCCTAAGGCCAGAAATAAATTAATATATTTTAAGGGCAAAAATCTTGAGGTTACCTTTAACAGGAAAACAAATTAAATCATGAGACTACCTCGTCCGACCTGAAAGGCATTGTTCTGGTTTGGTCTTTCTGAAACGCATACTTCCAGGTCCCTCGGAAGGAGATTGCGCTCACCAGCACCAACTGGTCGGAAGCCACAAGGCTGTTGTGGGGCAAGAGGCCCTTGATTTCACCTTTGGGAAGAGAAACACAGGAAGATCACACCTGATCACCCATGGAATGTGAATTGTTTTCACTGGTTTTGCTTTGATTTCTGACCCATCTTTATCCAACATAAGTAATCGCCACTCAGTATCTTCAAATGCACAAAAAAGATTTTTCAACAATAGGAAAAGCAATCATAATCATCTAATAAAAGAAGGACGTGGGTTGCAGAACACAAAGTGAGTGCATAGCCTTTCTGCCTACTTTACAGCCACATGCAAAACTGTCGATGTTTGCTTGTCCTACTCTATCAATAAATGCTATGCTGTCAGTGTGTCTTTGTTTCTCCACTTTTGATTAAATTGTTACACTAATAATAATTAAGATCCCAGATCAAACAAAAATGGAAAGGATAATCAAAATCTTCTGAGAAAATTTTACATATTTTCTCACACTTGTATTTACATGTATAATCTTAGAGTGAGCACAGGACATTTGTCAATAATCTGGATTATCCAGTTAGGAGATGGTTTATAAATACTAACACATTAACCATTAAGGTTTGAGTTTCCCGTTTCATTTCTCCTGGTACCATTCGGTGCTGAAAACAATGAATATCTGAGTCGGTGGTTTTGCAAATCGTCATCGTTACCCGGTTTTGATTTTCTACTAAAATCAAGCAAAAAACATAATTTAAAAAGTTGAAGAAGAAAAATTTTCGCTTTTTGTTCCTCCTCACTTCTCAAGAGTAAAATTAATAAGAATATGTCATGGGTTTTCATTTTATAAAATGAAAAAAGCTTTCGATCTTCAATAATTGGTGCCAATTACCTATATGTATAAAGAACTCCCACCCTTATTTCACATGCTACATAAAATTCAATTTGAGATGGATCATAAACTGAAATGTAAACACTAAAACAAAAACTCTACTAAATATACTAAAAGAAAAAGAAAAAAATACCTTTGTGACCTTAGGATAAGCTAAACTTTCTTAGAGAATAAACAGAAGGCACAAACTATAAAAGAAAAATACTGATAAATTGGACTTTATTAAAATTTAAAACTTCTGCTCATCAAAAACACAGTTAAGAAAATAAATACACAAGACATTGATTAAGAGAAAATATTAGCAGCATATGTATCGGACAAAATATTTGTATCCGAAATATGTAAATTCCTGTAGCTGAATAATAAAAAGGAAACAACCCAATTAAAAATGGGCAAATGAATAGATACCAAAATAAAGATATATTGAGGGCCAATGGACACATCAAAGAAGATGCTTTATGTCATTAGTCATAAGAGAAATAGGAATTAAGACTACAATGAGATACCGCTACACACATACTAAAAGGGTTAAATGAAAAATATTTACAATACCAAAAACTGGAGAGGATTCGAGTGACTGGAACTTTCATCTTGCTGGTGAAGATGGAAAATGGTACAACCACTTTGGAAAACTATTTGGCAGTTTTTTAGAAAGGTAAACATCCACTTAGTCTAAGCCTTAGCAATTCTACTAAGTATTTATCTAAGAAAAATGGGAAAATATGTACACAAGAAGCCTTTTACAAAAATTTTCGTAGCAACATTATTCATAATAGCCCCAAACTAGAAATAACCCAGATGTCCATCCACTGGAGAACAAAGTGTTATATATCCTTACAGTGGAATACTACTCAGCAATTAAGAGGTGTGAACTACTGCTATACCCCCAAACATAAATGGATCTCAAAAGTAATATGCCAAGTGAAAAAAGCAAGAAACACAAAAAGAGTATACTGTATTATTCCATTTATTTGGAATTTTAAAATAGGCAAAACTAAGCTCTGATGATACAATGAGTTCGATGGTTGGTGGGGGATGGGCAGGGAGGAAATATTTCATGTCTCGATATACATTTGTCATAACTGTCCGAGTATACTTATTAAGATCTGAGCATTACACTGAATGTAAATTATGTCTGAAAGAAGAAGAAGATGGAGAGAAATAAAAGCCTTAGGTCTCTTACCGTTGGTCTTATTTTCAATCCATGAGTTAATCCGCATTCTGGCTTCTTCTAAATTATTTTTGAAATCCAAATTTTCAGGTTTCAGTTTATATAATTGTTCGATACAGTCTAAATATTTCTATAAAATGAATATAGGAAAAGACTATATATAGCAAATAAATTGTGATTTTAATACATTTAGAGCATAAATGGCAGGAATTATATAAGTAGAGGCAGAAATATAGTAAATATCATTATGCAAGACAAGGCCCAATTAATAAAAATATACACATTTGTCATTGAATAAATTACTAGGGGATGTTTTTAATGACAAGAACGTTTCTCTCTTTTCAGTCTCTGAAATTGAACCTTATACCCATAATTGCATAATTAGGATAATTAGACTTAGAATAATTAGTATCCTCAGCCTGGAATTCCAATATATCAATTCCTCTTTTACTACCAATATTGAATTTTTTTTCAGTGTTGCTGCTATTGTTTTTAATCATACACTATGTAAAATTTATGCATTTTACACTTCAACTGGGCTCATCTGAAACATGATTAAATGCATTACACAAAAATTGGCATCTGAAAATTAGAATCCTAAATCCTATATTTTTCTACAAAACAAGATGCATAAAGTACATTGTATATACTGTATATAGCAATATCTATCTAAATGTATCTTTTCTATTTTCCTACAGGTTTGATAATATAAACAATGCTAGAATATATTAATTAGAGCCAGGAAGGAAAGGCTTCTCCCTTACTTATGGAATCTTGTTTTATTTTAACTCACCGGGAGGAATGGATGAGCTGCTTCTGCAAATATTCCACTCGCCATGTGGACTTGACTGTGGCCAAACCGGTTGATTTCAGAGAGGAATGCTTGAATGTGTGAATGGACCCCTGTATCGTGTTCACACTAAGATAAAGTTAGAAAATATAGACTTGAAAATGGGGGCCATGGTATCACCTACTTAAGTATCAACTGAGATTAAAAAGAGGCTCTCAGGTTGTCATTAGCATGTGCTATTTCAGAAAAAATAGAATCAAAGACTACTCATTCCACCATTTAGATTTATCGAAACTTTTGCCTTTCACTAAATTGTGTCACTGGAAAATCTGATCATCCATGGAGAGCAGGTGCCATAACACTATGTCATCATCCCCTCACAAGTGTGAGGGGTGACCTGGTGTGGTCCATGCTCTCGTCAGAGCTTGCCCTGTCTCCTCCTCCAGATGGCCCAGAATACACAATCAATACTGACATATTAATTTTAGTCCAGTTGGCATCAGGAAAAAATGTGTTGCTATATTTTGTAATAAATAAGAATTGGGGGCAATAAAGTTTGGTCTTAGTAACTCCAACATAGATAGTTTTGAAGGTCACATCTAGAAGCTACAGGCTGCCTTGGACAATGAAAATCTAGATTATACATTTTCCCTAAAAATGACCAAAAAGGAAAGGTATTTAACAAAGCAACTCATAAAGATAAGCCATCTTTAGTTACATTTTCAAAGAAAAATGATGGACGTATATTTCTTGAGCATTCACTAGGGTCCAGGCATTGCTGGAAGCACTTCACTGTCGGGGTAGCTTTTGGGGTCCCGTTAAGAAGCCACTTTGAGAACACTCTCTTTTCGGCGCTTATTGCTCAAGAGAAGGCATAGCCCTTTATCTTAAAAGACTAATTGTTTCCACCTGAACTTCCTGACAGTTTCCATTTGTCACCTCTTCTCAGTTTCCATTTTGTTTCCAAACTCAACATAATTAATTATTTTCAAACAGCATATACAGGAGTTTGACTGTATGTATTCTAGCCTCGTAGGACATCTCAAAGAAATCTGTCTTAAAACTTTAGTCCTCATGGACTAACAATAGACTGTCATAAGGAAAAGTAAAAAAGATCGTAAGAACTATATGTACATACTTTTGTGTTTGAAGAATTTGCAGTTCTCGTTAATTCATTCAAGTGGAGCACCTATGATGGGAAGCAAAGAACTACTTTAAAAGGCTATGTAAACGCTGCTCCCAAGGACCAGGTGGTGACACAGCAAATCACTTTTCTTAAGCGCTTACATTTTTATGAACTTGCCATTATTCACTCCACCTTTCATGGTTTTTCTCATTAAAAAAAAAAAAGAGAGACATTATTTCAAGAGAGAAGGTAAATTTGAAAATCAAAATCTTCCATGTGTTCTTAGGCAGAACTCTGAGTATTACAGAGGGGTAGAGATGAGGTGCAGGCATATATAGTACTGTGACAGAAGGCAAGATAAAGATTTAAAAAAGTGTTTTAAAATCAATTCAGGCTTACTCATCTGTTGTCACTAAATTTGGTTCATCCCTGCATTCCCAGTTGTGAAGCACAGTAAGAACCCCATAAATATTTGTTGAATGAAGAATGAATGATTATGTGGATAAACGAATGGATCTTAATATCATTTGCAGGCAATTAGTATCATTGGTTACTCACCGAGCATACAAACATAAAGCTTGAATTCATATAACAAGTAATTACTTTCAAAATTGTTTTCAAAAATGTTATCTGATTTGACGCTCAAGTGTCTTTGCGATTCCAAGCACTTATATCATTATCTCCATGAAGATTTAATGTTTTCTATTGTCCTATTGACTTAATTGAGGCACAGTCATAGTTTCATAAGATTTTCATCAGAGAACGGCTGAAATAAAACACTGACATTCTTTAAATATTTAAAGAGTGAGTACATTTAACATGTTTTATGTGATTCCCTATAGTAGAAATGGGATAAAGAGGCAGTAGACACTGGGAAGGTATTACAATGCTCTTAAAATATCTATATAAGAGGACTTAATTTTTGTGTATGAGCCTTTTAAAAACAGAAAAATGATAAAAGAGCAGCAGTTATGGAGAGAGAGACTTTACCTCAAGACGAGGAAGACTTTCTAAATTGTAGAACTGTCTGAATCTTTGTTAATTAGCTACTTCACACCATTAAGTTCTGCTTTATTAGAGGACTTCAAACAACCTGGACAACTTCTTGCCTGCTGGGTTTCAGTGAAGATTAAAGCACAGAGGGGAGAGTGGGGATTTTGACTCCTTTCGGTTCCGAGATTGCCTGAGAGTCATCTATGTCATAGGACATGCTCCATAATCCAGGGATTCCGCATGAACCGTGCCCCCTGTTGTTGTATTTTCGGTCGTCATCATCATCATCACCATCAAAAGAAAGCACAATTATTGAACCTGGAATTCTGAGACTTTGGCTCAGTCTTTGAATGTTACAGGAGAGAATCATTAAGAGGATCAAAATATGAGATTTCTTCCCCCCTCCCCCCCCACCTCATGGGAGCAGTGAGGGCAAACTGAGTTCTTTGGCTCTCTTCCAACTCAGGCTGCTTGGCTGTCAGAAGACACAAGGAATTATTTCCACCCCAGACTCGCTCTGCCTGACCCGTGCCCTCAGCACAGCGGGCCATGTGGCTCTCTGATTGCAAAACCAGATACAAGCACAAGCTCAAACGAAGCCACCAGCCAGCAGGCCTCTCTTACTTTGAAGGAAGCAAGAGAGGGAGGCGTGACTGCACACGCTCATCCCAAGATGGCTTGTAAAGATTCCCACGGCACCCTTATTCTTCACTATCTTTCTCTCTTCACAAACACGTATTTATTGAGCACCTATTATGGGCAAGACACTTGGGACCTCGTTTCCCAATGCGTAGAAATAGAATAAAATTGAACATAAGACCCTTCGCATTTAATTGTTCTTGAGTTTAAATACGTTATTAAATTCAGAGTTTGACTCCAGATTTTCAAGTTCATTTCCAGTTTAAATCCTGACTGGGCAAAAGCTTTGTTCCACTGGTTAATTATTCCCTCCAGAATATGCAGAGTACTGGCTAAGGCCTATTGAAAGATGCCTACTGAAATATTTC